AGAGCAGTTGACAAGAGTCAAAATAAAACTGCATTATGTTATACTACATGGCCTACAGATGACTGAACAATTAAACAACAGAGCATCTGGGGCTGTCACCAGAAGTTCTCTTCCTTCTCTCAAGACTGTTCATTTTAAAAACTTTTTAGGCAGGTATGTAACAAGGTTGTAGAAGCTTAACAAATGTCTCTTTAAATGTTATCCAATTCCATTATTTATCACTACTCCAAGGAAGGGTAAGTCGAAATTAATGATTCTCTCAAATACCAGATGAAAATTGTTTTTACAGGAATTGGCTTTGTAACCCTGACACTCGAGACACCTGGGGAAGAAGAGACATTCCCTGGAGATTTACATGGATCAGCAGCACAGCCAGACTGACTCAGCAATACATCCACACGTGCCTAACTGCAAAGATGTAAGGAAGCTTAATGGCTTTAACGTGACACAACATAAATATGCACCTATTTCCTAAGTAAGTACATTCTTGAATTAAGGCTCTAGTTTCTTGCCTTCTAATGCACCTGAACCCCACCACTCTGTCACTGCCACCAGCTGCTGGTGTCCATGGTGTACATGGAAACTGGCACCGTGCTGCTGTATCCCACAGGGAAGAGCTGCTTTGGTTGTGCTGTTCATCTTGCCTTACTCACGCAACGGTGAAGCCCTCAGGCTTCTGGCAGGCTGCCACTGAAAACCCAGCATAGTGCACATTCTCTTGAGTGGGGAATAAGGCCTCAATATTGCATTTCAAACACTGATTGGTAAAACAGGCAATTAAAAAAAAATGTGTTTATTTAGCTTATGGAGATTGCAGAAAAGAAAATCGCTCCAGAAATTCAAAGCTAGAGATGCTAGAGCAGTCAGGTACATCAGATTCCTAAGAATGAGCTTCCTTCCCATCACCTTCAGCTGCAAAGATGAGTCTGACCGCGCTGTCTTTCTCAGCCACCACGCTGGACAAGCATTTGAAACGCAGTTCAACAAAAAGCCACTCAAAAGGGTCAAGAGCAAGGATTCAGGCAATAAAGTAAACACCTGGAGGTGGAAAAATCCTTCTCCATTTTTCCTCCCACATGTTTTGGAATCATTGTGCCAGGAAATTATTAAATCACACAAATTTCAATAATGAATGCATTGCTTGGGTGGTACATGAAATTGCTGAGGGATATGGCTAAGGAAAATAAAAACTTTTCAAAGTCAGTAGTGATGAAAGATCAGATAGAGGAGCTAGACTACAACTTATATGGACTTCTGAAACCAGTATTGGTATGGGAAGATATTCCCAATTGATAAAAGTGAGCATTAAGAGGAAGCCTGTGCATAAAGAGCAGAGGAATCTATTTAATATTTTTCTGCTGTAATTCAGCACAAAGGTTCCCTGTGGTATTTTTGCTTAACTGGGAAGACACTGCCACCTAATTAGGAGAGGGAGAAAGCAGACCCACTAAAGCACTTCTGAATCTAGAAGGCCACTTTTATGGCTTTTGAGAACAAGGCTACTTTTGCGATGCCACAAATGCCAGTTTGTAGCATGCTAAGAGTTGTTCTGTGGCTTAATAAGGTTGGTGCATTGCTCACAGGCCCCTGACAAGCTAGTTTTCTCACCTGCGCTTTGCTTAATGTTGCAGTTCAGTTTTAATTCTTTAGATCTTGCTAAACATGCACCAACACAAATGAACCCATCACTGAATTACTGCAACTATGTCTTTTAGGGAAGAACATCCTTCTCTCCATATCGCAGTACACTATTTTCTAATTAATATTTTCGATCTGGCTCAGTCACGACTGAACACGGAGCGTGCGGAGGAGAAGTGGGAGGTGGCAGCCGGCAGGCTGGCCATAGCGAAGCAGGCTGCTGCGCTGTCACTGACCACGCTTTGTGTTGTCATTCTGAGCACACGTGGTGAGGTGGGGAGAATCCCAAAGGTGGAGATTGAGGATTAGCACCCGCAAATGCTGCTGGCTCCTACCTATACTGTATTACTGCGTGCAGCTTTGGGAGTGAAAATAAATGCCAGAAACGTCAACAGCCTATGACACAACAATGTACGATGAAGCAGATGAAAATGACTCACAGATCTCCTCTGCAGTGTTGTTAGCAGCCTAGAGATTTTCAGTGCAGAAGGCTGCAGAACTTTGAATCTGGAATTGTGTCAGCCTCCATCAAATTCCTGCCTTTTAAGAATTCTTGGCTTTCCACAAAAGTCAAATTACAAGTAACAAGTCCTCAGGCATTCAGTCCTGGTCACCCTGCATACATTACTCTAGGAGGAAAAATACAGGCTGATGCTGTCCCTCCCTCACAAAGCTTTTCCCATGGGCAGGTGAATGCAATTGGGTTTTAACTTTTGCTTTCTTGCATGACAATTTTTTAGCCTTACTATTTATATCGTACTGCTGGATTTCTTGGCTGCCTCTCTGCCTAAGCTTCACCCAAAGAGGGAAGGAACATCCTGTCATCATCATCCAAGAGGACCAGGGGGCAGAGATGTAAACAGATTGGCCAACCCAGACACAAGGCAATGATGAAAATAGGGCAATAAAGTGAAAACTGTCAAGACCTGACATTGTGAGTGTTGGTGTGCAGTAACTTTGTACTGACATGACTGTGGATCTTACTGGAAGCCAAAGAGCAGACTGCATCACCACCCTTTTCAGTTGCTTTTCAGTTGCACAAGGGGAATTCTTGCAGGGATTTTTCTTCAAAGGCACCCAAACATGCTAGCCAGTAAACACCATCTGGCCAACAAACATTAGAGGCAAACAAACACTGGGGTTGCACAGAAATTCTAAGAGAAATCTGGGGCTCAAATCTTGGGGCAAGTCAGATTTTAGTACCTACAGAATTTGACCTCAATTAGGACTGGCAAAATTAGTACAGTGATAATGTATTGAAGAAAAGCTCTTCCATTAGCTATTTCTTTCCCATAGGATGGAGAGTGGGTGAATTTTAAGGATGAAAGAACAAGGAAGAAATTGAGAAAGACATAGGAAATGTTCAGTGAGACAAAGCTAACTTTGATGAATAACTTGATTGAGTAGGGAGAGACTACAAGTGAAGAATAAAGAGCCTAGACTTTGCCTATTTTATAAAATATGTAATGTCAGTAAGAAATTTTGTGGAGTAAAACCAAAGGAAAATAATGAAACCGTGTAATTTTTCCCTAACATGCCTATTCTTAAATTACAGACTTTTTTGAACAGCGCCTCCCACTCCGTAGGGCTGTCAGTGCTCGACACACATTCCAAACTGTATTGTTTTCTTTCTACACTGAAGGGTTAATACATACAGCATGGCCTTGGCAGCATGCTTCAGACTCTTGCTGCCCTAGCTGACCCTGGGAGCCTGAGACACACACAGGAGCTGAGCAAAGGTTTCTTCCTCTGAGCAACAGAAATTCATGGGGCTTTTCGGAGTGCTGACCCGCAGGCAGAGCTCACTGTTGGCACATGACTGCTATCCATTAACAGAAAGAAGAGATTTACAATTAACATGGAGGAAAAAGAAGGCTCATCTAGAAGGAAGATGTCAAGGAGGTCCATTCTTTTCCCCAGAATACCCACAGTCAGAGCTGGAAGCCCATTTTCTAGAACATTGGGCCTTGCCAACAGCAAAATCCATCGAGACTTTTTATAGCTGAGGCAGGACTCCAAAGTCACTGTATTTAGAAAACCCTGCCTGGCATTCAGGGATCTTCCCAATTTGGCGGTCTGTTTATTCTGGGGGCACCTCCCTGCTTTCTTTCAAGCCAGCCTTACCAAGCCTTCAGTTCTGGCCCCGATGAAGTTGTTCTTCATATTTTCCCATTTTGGGAATATGCAATATATTTATTTGGAAGCAAACAAACCAACCAACCACCAACCAAACCAAAATGAAAATTGTAGCACTCCTTCCTAAAACCAAACCTCTTTCCAGAGGCAGGGGAACGGGAAAGAGGCAGGCAGAAGCATGAGCGTCCTTCATTCCAACAGCACCTGCTCCGCACGGTTTTACGCACTGGCGTGAGCATCTTTTACCTCCGCTTCCCTCTTATTTTCTGGAAAGGCAGGGACTGCATTGTAAGCAAGGAAGTCCTTGAGGAAACACAAAGGGTTGAAATGCCTGACCAGCCATAAACAAACAGATTTGTGTGAAATTCTTCTGAGACTCAGAAACTGATTCTCCGTGCAAGCAGAGCAAGCCAATAATATTCCTAGCCGACATCCAGAATCCACGGCACTGCTCCATTCTCTACCATCCTCCAGTGTGCAGTTCACGTTATTTTGATTTTTCTATATGCAACAATAAAGTGCAGAGATGGAAGAGCTCTCAATTCCCAGTTGTTGAAGAACTCTTAGCACAAAGGCAGCAAAACAAAGTTATCTGAATTTTAAAAGCCCTGTCAATCTCTAGCAATTCAGCTTTCCCTTTTCAGAGCTTTTGCAACAGCGCTTCTGAATCTCTGCTTTACAGTATCAAACAAAATTAAACTCTACTACAAAAATTCAGAAGCCAAGTTCCTCCCCTCGTATACAGGTAAGAATCTACCTGAGGGTCAGGACAGGCAGAAGTTTTCTGCCATCACCAAATGTGGGACCATACGGGAATATTACAGAACTATTGGCTTTAAATTTTCAAGATGGTACTTTTTTTTTTTTTGCCTTACTCCTGTTCCCCCTGCCTTGTTCATGCATACATCCAGTTTATGATATTCCAAGCACTACGGCAAGATCACTTTTCAAGCAACATCTTGAATTATTTGATCATCACAAGCTAAAGTTATGCAAAAATAAATGCCTGTTTGCATTCCTCTTTCAGGATCTAACAGAATCTACTTGAGTCCAGTAGAAATGCAATACCCTCTTTTTACTCTCACAAAACAAACCCCACCACCTGCAAAATTATTTCCATTCTGGCACAAACTTAATAGAGTAGGTCCAGCATTTTAACAGATCTTAAGGGAAAGAAGCATCAATTAAGTTGTAATCAAAGAATTTAAGGAAATAAATGCAAAAACTCTCCATTAACAATAAGCACCTTTATTGACCATCTTACCATTCGACATCCATTTCATTCAATCTCCTAAATTGCTGAACTACAGTCCAGCTTAGCATTTAAATAAAAGAAAAAGAGATCTCAATTTGACTTGTATAAAAAGTGTTATGCCTGGGTGGCACAGAATTAAAGTACTATTTAAAAAAGCCAGAGACACAAATAATCACCACCTGTGATTTTGAACATTAAGCCCCGTACAGTTCAAAGTCAAAATTAGCACATATCCTCCATATGATCGTATGCTTGTAAAAATGCCTACAAAAATCTGTTTGTTCAGAAGGCAGAGTGGTTGGAAAGTATTTTCTATTTTACCATTTAACAAATGACATCACTTCACAAAAACTACGAGGCAGCAAAGTATTTCAGATAAATTTCACACAAACCCCTGACACCACAGAGTGCCAACAGAGTTCAGCACAGCAGCAAATCTTTGCAGTACAGACTAAAATTCAGCTATGCATCATTCATTACAATATTTAATTCAATGCTCAGGAAATTTAAAAATCAAATACACCTGGGAATCTAACAGTCAGACACTGGTTATTCCCACTTCTTTTTTTTCCTTGCTGTTTTCAGAGTATGACTTCTTGTATCTGTGTTACAAAGGGTGCTGCTTCCCGGTGTTTAAAACCTCTTCAAAATTTATTAGCAAGCTTTGAGAAGCAAGAAAATTGCCTTTTATAAAGACAACTTAAAATATTTGCAAAAGCATTTAACTTAAGTTAGCACTTGAGTGTAAATTAAATTCCTTCTGAAAGTCCTATACCCTACACAAGGTAAGTTTTTCAACAGTATCCAAGAAGAAATAAAACTATCTCAGGAAATATTAAGAAAAGCTACTGAAATAAGTCCTTCATAACACCTGCAAAGTGACATGTCCTGGAAAGGCAAAAACTGAGGGTTTTTTCCTTTAGATTTCCCCTTTCTGCAGGATATAAAGTTATTCTAACAAGCAAAAAAAGTTCATCACTATTACAAAATAGTGTTGTCTCCATGTCAGGCGTAAGTTCTTTATCAGCTTAAATCACCTGTATGAAAGCTGAGAAAGGGAACTCCATTCATAGCAGAAATTAATTTATACCCATGCACAATCTTTTTTTCCCCCCACAAAAGAAATCCAGTGTGGGAAATAATCCTTTAAAACAAGGCCATTAAAACACATCAAAACAAAACTAGTAAGTAGAGGAGGAAAGCCTAAGCAAACAGATGTACGTTACTGAGACAGTGAATGGGTTGCTAGAAGAGATGAGAGGTTAGATCTCTGTAGGACTTTGACATAGCAGAGATGCTGGTTTTCTACTCTGCTTGGATCACAAAGCAGAAATAGGGTGGGGGTTTTTTTATTGCCCTTCCCTGCCTGTGTTTTTCAAGGCATCAGAGATATCCAGGACACAGTAACATTTCCTAAGGCCAATACAACTCCAACAGTTGACCAAAAACTTGAGTTAGTTTTGTGAATTTAGATTAAAAAAAATGGAAGAGCTTACATTGGAAAGGCAACACACTTCACTCAAATCAAGAGATTTTGGCTTGGATTCAAGCTCCACATTTGTTATTGCACACAATACAACTCAATCCTCCAGCTGTTTTTCCTCCATTAACCATAACTCAGTGAAGGAAGTCTCAGGGTACATCCCAGTTACCAAAGCCCGCCTGCCTTTGGAACAAATGTGGTTGTGAAATAGTTGCCTACAGGTGAAGGCAGATTCCACAGTGTCATTAATTACCATGCAATTTGTTGGTATTCTCTGTTCCTGAAAGAATTTATGCATCCCTTCTAAGATGCAAGTGTTTGTTAACCAGCACTGGGGTAAGAAAAAATGTAAATAATTTCACCCTTTTTATTAAAAGGAGAAAGTCAAGTAAGAAACTAAAACAGGTATAAGCAAAATTTCAATCTTCCTTCACTGAGGTACCAAACATTTTGAAAACTAATGATTGTATCATTTACTAATAAATGAATGAAGCGTCTTGAGACACCAAATCCTATCATTCATAAATATTCCAACAGAGTAAGAGAGAATTAATCATGGTATACACCCAAAATGTGATATATTGATATTAGTAAGGTTTTCTATGGTTCCAAATGAGCATAAATGACAAAAATTAAAAAACAATTAGAGGTACTCAATAGCTCTTCCAAGTTTTATGTCCCTTTTTTGAGACAGAAATCAATGACGTCAGTAACATAATATCACCTTAAATCTAATTCACAACTTGACTTTGCTAGCAATCCCAGGAATAATATTTTCTTCCATAATGCCATGTCCAAGAAGTGTAGCTTTTTTAGTGATTTATTTTTCTACAAGCAAACTTCTCAGGAGACACAGTAAAACAAGGAAGGCTCAAGTTTTCTTTTATGTCCTTAACATTTGGGTGCACTTTGTAGCAAGTGAGCTCAATATAACAAAACCCTTGAAAAAAAGGAAAGGGGAGGGTGGGAATGCAATGTCCATGAAGGACAGAAGGAACACCAAGGTCTTCCTTTAATTCATAAGATAACGTGGCCCCAGCTCAAAAAAGCAACTATCTGCTCTTAGCCACTCAATGTCCTTTGCGATAGCGAGCGTGGCAACGCTGCCACGGGTCCCTTGGCCTCCCCAAACCAAAACAACTTACTTGTTTTCAAGACAGACAGCAAGTTCTCATCATCATGTCTTCAGGCTGGAGCAGAGCTGTAATTACGTTGTTCTACAGTGATACTTACAAACGACTACAACAAATTGGAAGGCCCAACTTGTATCTGGAAGACTCAAACAGTTTTGAGCTTGTCTTCATTTGCAGGAACTTTTCACACCTGCTAAGCCAATGCAGAAGCATGTGAACCATAGCTGAGCTTCTTAAAAACAGTCACGTTGCCCAGGAAAACGCAGCATCTTCTGACTCCCTAATCACATTTGAATGAGATGTTAACTCACAGAACGATCTATGATGCGCTTGTGCAGTATCAGACCAACTCTCCATTTCTAAAATGGAAGCTATTTTTCAAATAACCACCTATCTGAATAGGCTGAGAAAGAGCAGAAAAGAAAAAGGAGATGGTAACCTCTACAAAAGAATCTTTAAGAGCACATGTTTAAGTCCTGATTTGTTACCCAAACTTTTTGGGTCACTGTCAGTCAACATTTCTTGCAGACCACAAGATACCCTTAGAGATCTTTACTGAAAATACTGTAAAGGCGATAGCATTTAGTGACCCAAACACAAACCCCAGTTTGCAGATCTACCATTTGGCAACAGTCCTCTTAGGAAAGGGAACACGCACAGGATATTATCATTACTGCATGACACCTTTGATATTTTACAACTTCCACAGAACAGTTCGTTCCTTAAGCCCCAGAAATGCCAGAGAACAGTCACTTTGAATTATTTTTACAGCTGGAAAGCAGCATTTTTTCAGAATTTAAAATAGCTGTAGGTAAACAGAATGAACAACATTTGTTCTGAACAAAGCAGCATTCTGTTCCCCCTGCCCCCTCCCCAAAACAGGCGAAATGCAGTTCCTTTTCTCATCACAGCTCCCAGGCCAAGGACACTGAAGCTTTGTAGATTGCAAATTCCTCCATGCACATGACGCACAGTTATATAATTGAGCAGGGTATCCAGCACAAAAGCATCTACCAAGTGCTGAGAGATTTTACTCAACATGCACTTTTCCCATGTATGTTAAATTTAAGGTATTATGCTGCACTTAAGATTATGCAATTTTAATGACAACAAAATCAATAACATATGGGAAGAAAGACAAACAGCTACTGTCCACGTTTTTTTAAGAGATCAGTTGAGTTAAGACAACCAAGAACTGACACTGGACAAAAAAAATTTCTGTAAATCCTTTAAAGTTGTCGGACTTTTTTATCTGTGCTTTTAATATTGACATCCAGTGTCTCTACTTTCTTTGTCAGCCGATCCAGCATATCATCTTGCTCATCTATTTCTGTCTGCAGACCAAGAGCAAGGTTTTTCAGACGACTCAACCCAGAAGACATCTCATCTGTCAACAAAGAGAGGAACCGTAAGGAATCGAAGCGGTATAAAGTATTCTGTTTAAACGGACAGTATCAGGATTCCCTCCTCTCCAAAACCCTGGGTTAGATGATGTTCGTTACGACTGCTCAGGTCTGAGTGTTCTTCTCAGTAGTGGAAGCACCGGTATTCTAACACTTCTACTGCCAAAAATAATCACGTCCTTCTTTTTTCCATTACAAGTTAAATACAAATGCTTAAAACCAAATTGGATCTTTATAAAATGACATACCCTGTAATGTGGATTTACTTTTTTTAAAAACCATAATTTATGGAAGATTTGGTGCATCTTTTCTCAGTTCAGTATACACAATATGCTCACGACCTCCGTTGTTTTCCTTTAAACTTCATGCAGAGGTATTGTCAATATGCTGAAAATTAGCAATTAGTTGTTTAACATAGATGGGAAAATCCCATTTCCAGATTTTCTAATTTGGCTACAAGGAAACTCCTTTATTGCATGATCGACTGGTATAAATGCTTCTGAGGCTATTAAGTTTTGCACAGCTTAGGGGGACAACAAATGTGCTTCCACTAACTCTTAATGCTTGACTATTTCTCTTCGATCTATTCCTTTCCCATTTCTTTCCAATCTCTTCTTTCTAGGTCAGCTAAACAGCGACACGTGTAAGCAAAGAGGGACTTTGTGTATATGCTACAGAACAAAGGAAGAGAAAGTCAGCTGAATGGTTTGGGGGAGTAATAAAACAAATGCAGCAAATTCACAGATTAAGGATTTAGTGCCTTTCGCTTCTTCTATTTTCTGCAAAACACGTTTATTCCAAAAGCTGCGCACAGTTGTAAAGTCTTTAGGTCCAAACTGATGTACAATTCACTATCTGAGTTTAACTGTCAGCTAAGTTGGATGCAGCTTTCAATGCACTGCTAAGCTTTAGAAAAAGAGGTAGCAAGTACCTATACTGGTATAATCTGGATGTCAGCTCGAAGAATTTTTCCTTTATTAATATTACTAGTACCTGCTTAATAAGATTTTTCAGAATGGATGGATAAGCCTGCTTGTCCCAGTGATATTCCAGTCAACTTACAGGATGATTCAAAGAAACATTTTCACATCCTGAATGCGAGTGTTGTGGGATCCTTCAGCACCATTTCCTCATTCGAATGACACAGATTTGCTAGCGTGTTCACATTTGGTAAGTGTTTTTCTTACTGTCAATATACAATCTAAGGGGACTCATGCTTTTACTGTGGGTTTTCTCCCCTGGTCTCTTTGCTCAGGGACAGTTCAAAATCTATTTCTACAGCACAAGCTTGTTGTGGAAGAGTTGAAGTATTAATGCCAATAGCATATCAGTTTCCACAGTAGGTTTATGCTATTCCAGGCACCCTAGCCAGTTTGTTTCCTGCTGGCTTCATGCATTTCTAACTCAGATTTGTTATTACTATTTGCAAGCAGTTGACCCAGACATCCCACAGCATTCTATCATTCAAATAATGCACATTTCAATCAAACTTTGGATTCTGCTATGTAGTTTTGAAATGCAGAATACAAGCAAATGGGGTTTTTTTTATCATCAAATTTCACGTGAACCAAAAAAAGTGTTGATTAGCAATATACTACTTAGTAACTTTCTCTGGCTTAAGAACCAAAAACTGAAAATTGTATTACATCAAACAGCTTCAATTTTCTCACTCACCTAAGTTGTTATCAATTTTCTGGTGATAAGCTCGCAGGTGTTGGTTCTTTGGATAGGAATCCCTCTGCACTGAAGAAACTAAATCTGCTTTGCCGAAATCATTGTCTGTTAAGAGTATAAAATACAGAATATTAAATAATAAGAAAGCTAGCAAGAAGAGGCTTTAAAGTTTTAGAAGGGCTGTTAAAAATTAGTCTGACCACAGCTGCCATGTAACCACATAACCCATTAGCAGGAGCAAATGCCATCCAACACCACTGTCCTTAGAGCACCCCTCAAGATGAAGAGTTATTAAGCTAAAATGATTCTCTTTGGGGCTGCCTTTTGTAGTTCTGGTAGGTAGTTGAAAGAAAAAAAAAAAGAAAAAAATCAGCCACCCAACCAACAAAGCATGTAGGTTGGTAACTTCTACCAGCAGTTAGCATTCCCCCAGGTCAAGCCACCAGAGCCCTCTATTGGACAGACTTAATACTGTGTGGAGTGGAACAGAGATTAAAGTTATCAAAAAGCATTTCTTTACTTACAAAAATAAAACTATAAAGATACCCTGCTGCTTTCTCACTCTTGCTAAACTGAATAATTGAACCTCACTTTAAAAAGGAACAGTTATTTTGTACATAAAAGTCACAACAGAAGTTAACGCATTGTGAGAATGGGGAACCAGACCAAACCCTGTACGCTTCCTTGTGTGAAATCAAGCAATGACTTCAGCATGAAGGGTTATAGTCTGTGTTTGAAATAACAAGGAAAACCTATCTGAAAACTATGACAAATTATGGTTAAAGAGGAGAAACTCTGAACATAAGTTAACATTTTGGCAAACCTTGCCTGCACATTGTGTAGACTCTTGGCTATAGTCTCCTCCGTGCAAATACAAGCACTGGATGCTTTTAAAGTCTTTAGTGGATATCCCCCAAAGGAAGGGCTAAATAAAATCTGTATCCAAGTAAAAAAAAAAAATCACATCTCCAGTATGGATATAAAGAGTTCTAGGGGAAACAATTCCCTAGAATTCAAAGCCATGAAGGCTGGGACACACATCTCCAGATGTTAAGCAGCAACATAAGTCAGCAGCTGGGCAGGAGGAAGGGTCTCTGCCTTCACTACTGGGCAAGTTTGCCCCATGTTGATGATAGACATTCAGCATAAAACAAAGTTAACAAACCTGAATTATCTAGCTTCCTTAAATTTGGATGACTTTCCTGGTATTTTGACTCTTGTTCTTTACTGGACACTATTGCTTCTTTTAATCTAGTAATAAAGAGAATAAAAAGAAAACATTGCTATGGACCACAGGCCACAAGACCACAAGAGCAGCAAATTTGTTAGACCCGATCCAAAATGCTCCTTTAAAATGAACTATTAGCATTCGTCTTCAGTGAAAGTAGAACTGGTCACTTTAGTGCTGAAAATAGCATATGGGAATTTTGGTATCAAAACCAGAACTGCATCTTCTGTCTTGGAGGCAACCGATTCCTTTCCTCTAGTGGAAGATGGAGGTGGAAGGGGAGGAGGAAATCAATCCATGCAACATTACCAGGCTTTACATAAACTTCTCAGCTGAAGAGAGACAAGTACTATAAGACACAGTAATTTCACAGCAATTAGTTTTTATGTAAAGCTTTTTTAATAGAAGCTAGAGAAATACACGTAATATTTAACTGGAAGGTGTCAATTCCACAAACCATCATTTCCTGATAAGACTGACGTGGGCATGACAATTCAGAAGACTCTGAAGACTTACTTGTGCAATTTTGTGTAACTTTGAATTAATTTCCCACAAATACGAAGCTATCCTTACCACTACAAATATAAAAAAAAGTAAAAATATTTCTCTCTGAGTTAAAGGGAAAAGGGAGATGGACACCATCTCAGTTTACTTGATGGAATCAACAGATCCTTTAACTTCTGATTTTCCGATGACATTTTGGAGCTGCTGTGGGAGATAAGCCCCAAGTAAAATGTTTACTTACCTACTGTTAGCATAATATTCAGGGGCTCCGTTCTGTTCTGGCTTGCTCTCTGGAGGTTTGGCTTTGAAGTAGTTTACCAAGCCCCCCCAAACACTCTTAATGCTATTTATGTGCCTTTGACTAGTCTTCAAGTCCTGGTCCATTTTATCTACCATCTGTTCCGTGCGCTTCAGTGCCTCTCCTTGACGTACGAGCTCCTAACAGATATTGACAGAGGAAGAGAAGCTAGTAAAGCCAAAATAAACTGAAACATCAAACATTTTTTAACAGACACTACAAAGAAAAATAACAGATTTCCTCCATTTGTGTAGATTATTTCTAAAGGCATACAGATTTTCCTCACTCCTTTCCCTCCAGGGCATTTCAGTCAAGAGTTGCTCATCAGCCAAAGCATTAATCAGCTATAAAATTCTCATCCCTACGCAATGCCAGGTTCCTGACACCTACTACAAACATCCAGGAATCTTCTGTGTTGCCCTTTTGTCAGGTTGACATTTGTGTCTCTTCTTGATGGAACAAGCCTGGCACCAGATGGGTGATGCAAAGGATTATGGCAGGGAAATCAGCAAGCTACTTGTAGTTGTGAATGATGCCTTCACTGAGCAGGGATA